ATTGATACTAATATTGTAGAGATGATGGTGGAATTATTATTGTTATTTTATATTTATTTTTATTCATTTTATATCCTGGTTGTAGCCCCATCCCTCCTCCACTCCCAGTTCCACCCTCCCCCTCCCTTTTCCCCTTGCCTCAGAAAAGGGGAGCGCCCTTTCCCATCCACCCCAGCTCATTAAGTTGCAACAGGACTGAGCATGTCCTCTTTTCCTGCGGCCTGGTAAGGCAGTCCCTCCAGGGAGAAGTGACAAAAAAGCTGGCAAGTGAGTCTGTGTCCTATGCAGTGTCCATTTCCCTTACTAGAGGACCCACATGAAACCCAAGATCTCCATCTGTTACATCTTTGTAGGGTGCCTAGATCCAAATTCATGCATGGTCCTTGGTTGATGCTTCAGTCTCAACAAACCCCTCTGGGCCCTGATTAGTTGACCCTACTGTTCTTCTTGTGGAGCTCCTGTCACCTCCCTTTTCTTTTTCCTCCCACATTTCCACAAAGCTCCCTAAGCATCATCCAATGCTTGGCTGTGAGTCTCGGCATCTGTTTTGAGGCGCTGCTGGGTAGAGGCTCTCAGAGGACAACTCTGCCAGTTTTTTTTTTAAGAACTCACTGACATACAGATAAAATGGTGCAACATGAGCTACTGGGGGGAGTAGGCATGGGTTAAATCTGACTGTGAGCAGACAATCACTAAAATATAGTGCTGGGTACATTAAGGTTCAATGCACTATTCTCCCTATGTTAATATTTGTTTGAAGATTTTTCTTTTTTTAACTTTTATTAATTACACTTTACTCACTTTGTATGAAGATTTTTCTATAGCAAAAGAAAACAAACTCTATAAATACAGCTCTGTGGACATTAAGTCTCAATTCTGAAGTTTTATAAGAGCATCAGCTGTTTCGAAGGTACTGTGTCTACTCTCCTGGGTATAGCATCATCCAAATGCAATCACTCTGGCTGTGATTGCCTAGGAAGTGGCCCCAGACTTCTCCAGACAGAGAAGACAAACATACTTGATTTCATCAAAGATTAAAGTTCATGCTTAGATTATTCCCAGAACTGTGTTTCAAAACCCTGATGCCTTTCATTACACCTAAAGCCAATGGATGATGTATCAAGTTTATGAGTTATTTCTTAACATATGAAATAAGCCATTTCTGCTGGTGGTGATGTTGAAATGGAGGGCAAGAGTACATGGCAGTACATTCTTTATAGTGCGACTATCATATCTTACAGATTTGGGTAATAGTTACTATCACACCTGCCATAAACTCAGGAAAATGAACTATGGAGTTGGTAGGTTTTCCCCAAATACTTACTTCGGGAATTGCACATATTCTTAACCATCAAAAACGTCACTTGTCTGTTTTACAAGGAAGTTTTAGAGATAAACTTAATTCTAACTGATAAAAAGTCAAAGGGCATAGTCTTTTTGAAACCGTGACTAGCCAAAACTGCTTCAGTAGGCTGTTTTAGTTTCACAGCATTTATCTGCACAAATCTAAAAATAACAGTTAGTTTATTGATTGGTATCTCCATGGGATATGATGAAGACAGTAGTCACTAGAAGCAACCTCATCTGTCAAGTCACACAGCTACTGTCCATTTCACTATGGACCCTACTAGAAGTCTGAAAAGAAAGGCCAGATTTCAGTGCAGATATGAGCCGAAAACAGAAACCTCTTGGTTTCTGTTAGCTGTGCTGACTAGATTTTTGTAATCTTGACAGCTGGTAGGCTAGAACCATCTGGGAAGTGGGAACCTCAGCTTGGAAAATGTCTCTATCAGATTATCAGTAGGGTACTGAATTCATGGTTGATGTACGAGGGCACAGCCCACAGTTGGTGGCCTTGGGCTGTAGAAAAATCAGATCAACAAGATGAAACTGAGAAGTGTCTACATGGCAAAAGACACTGTCATTCAGATGAAATGGCAACCTACAAAACAGAAAAAAATATTTCTACCAATTACACATCTGATGGAGGGCTAATGTCCAAAATATATAAAAGAACTAAAAAAAAAAAAAACAAAAAAAATAGATGTCAAGAAAACAATCCAACTTAAAGATGGAATACAGATCTAAACAAATAATTCTTAATAGGGGAAACTCAGATGGCTGAAAAACACTTTAAAAAATGTTCAGCATCCTTAGCCATCAGAGAAATGTAAATCAAAGCTACTTTGAGATTTCATCTTACACCTGTCAAAAGGCTAAGATCAATCAAACAAGTGACAGCTCATGCTGGCAAAGATGTGGAGTAAAGGGACTATTCCTCCATTGCAGGTGGGAATATAAACAGGTGGGAATATAAACTTGTACAGCCACTATTGAAATAAGTGTGGAAATCCCTCAGGAAGATGAGAATGGATCCACCTCAAGATCCAGCTAAACCACTCTTGAGCATATATTCAAAGGGTGCTTCATCCTACCACAGAGACACTTGTTTAACCATGCTCATCGCTGTTCTATTTATAATAACAGAAAGAGGAAAAGCCTAGATGTCACTCAACAGAATAATGGATAAAGAAAATGTGGTACCTATACACAGTTGAGTCTTACTCAGGAGTATTTTAAATAATGACAATGAAATTTCCAGGCAAATGGATGGAACTAGAAAAAAAATCATCTTGAGTTAGGTAGTCCAGCTCCAGAAAGACAAATATGGTATGTATTTGTTATATGTGGCTATTACCTGTTAAGTCAATACTAACAGTCACATGAGTTGACATATGTCCATATAACCAAGCTACAATTTGTAAAACCACAGAGGAAGGGTATAGAGTAAGGGACTAGAGGGTACAGATAGATTTTGTTAGGTAAGTGGAATAGAATAAACCGCTATGAATGGGGGAATGGAATGAGAGGATCAAGTGGAGAGGGAGAGAGGGGTGAGGGAGGCAATACAGGGAGAGAGAGAGAGCTAAAATTAAGGTGAATTTGAAGGTAGTATGGAAACCTAATACACATAAAAGCTTCATAATATAAATGAAATCACCAAATTATAAGGGAGAAAGACAGAGCCCCAACTGGACATCTCTTGTCACCAAATGAAGCTTCCAGTACCAGGATCAGGTTCCATTTAATTGTGTTGTTAACCATAGTGGTTCCGTGGGAATCCCCAGATAACCCAGGATTTAGCCAAGGCAATAGATTGCTCTCCACAAACTGACAGCAAGCCCCCATTGCTAAGACCACACCCATACAACTCACTGAACATGGAGGGGGCAAGCGGGCGCCTACATTTACCCCTACATGGTGTCTTTGGTACAGGAACATGATTTGCATATTACCAAAAGAGAAACTTAAACATCCAGCCAGCCAAATCTACAACAGTGTCCTGCCTATAAGATATGCTAGGGAAATGGTGGCACAGAATTTGTGGGACTAGCCAACCAATATCTGATTTGACTTAAGGACCACTCCACAAGATGGAAATGAACCCTGACACTGCATGGGTGACCAGGAACCAGAGACTGGATAGCCCAGGCACCTGAGGTAAAATCACATACTACTAGTCTTAAAAAAAAAAAAAAAAGTAGTGATAAAGTGACTTTATACTCATAGATCAGTTCCCTGCTTGGCCATCATCGGAGAAGCTTCCTCCTGCAGCAGATGGGAACAAAGACAGAGACCCACAGAGACCCTGATATTATGCAGAGAGCAAGAGACCTTGGAACACTCAGCTCTAGACAGGATAGCTCTACCAAATCTTTCCCTCAACCCCAGACTCAAGGAACCCCATGGAAGAAGAGGTAGAAAAGTGTAAGAGGCAGAGGGATAGAAGACACCAAGAAAACAATGCCCTCTAAACCAGCATAAGCAAAGCTCAAATGAACTCACAGAGACGAGACAGGATGTATAGAGCCTGCATCAGGTCCTGTGTTGTGGCTACCAGGTTAGTATTTTTATGGCGTTCCTGAGTGTGTAAATGAGTACCTGCTCTTGGGCTCTTTTCCTTCTATTGGTTTGTCTTGCACAACTTCTGTGTGATAGTTTTTGTTTTATCTTATTTTGTTTTATTTTTGTTATTATCTCTTATAAGCCTGTTTTATTTTTTAGTGAGAGACAGAAAGAGTGGACCAAAAAAGGAGGGGAAGCAGGGAAGAACTGGGCAGAGTAAATGGAGGGGAAGCCATAATCAGGCTATACTATGTGAGAAGGAATCTATCTTCAACAAAAGGGGAGAAAACTGACACATCAGTGGTTGCCTAAAGCCAGGAAAGAATTAATTCTACAGAGGCATTAGACAAAACATTGGTGTGATATCTTAATTGTGGTAACAGTCACATGAGTTGACATATGTCCATTTTCATTGAAGCTCGTAATGGAGTTGGCACATTTGATTGTATGAAAATTAAGCCCCCAATAAGGAATAGTTAAAATAAAAAAAATAATAAAGTAGGTTATCATAAGAAAAGAAAAATTGAACAAGGCATGGACAGAAAGCCTTACTAGGAGCATCCACCATGGCCTCGGCTTCACTCCCTGCCTCCAGATTCCTGCCTGAGCTCTGCCTCGACCTCCCTTCCTAATGTGCTGTAAACTATAAGCTAAAACAAATCCCTTTCTCCCCAAGTTACTTTTGGCCATGGTGTTTATGGAAGCAATGGAAAGCAAATTAATAAAGGTATGGATTCAGGTAATAGTAAAAAAGGAGAGAATACAGTGACTGAGGTGACAGTTTTGGGGTGCGGGGAGAGCACGGGTTGGCAAGAAATGAAGACTGGCTGGTGGACATTCCACATAGAAGCACCTACTCTACCCCAAGCCACCCCCGTTAAGGTCTAGATCTGTCCTATTAGCCTACAGATACTTTGGAACTATCCAAGCAAAGCCTGAAGAAGCTAGGATAGACACTAAGCCCAGCCCTCCCCTCAGAAAGTCCATAAGGACTACGGGAAGTTTCTACCTGTCTAGCTCCCCAAGGAGAGAGAATAAAGCTTAGCAAAAATGAACCCGCTGTGTCAAATGCATGATTGCTACTTTAAATGTACCTTGATTCAAAGCCAGAGCAGGGGCATAGATAACAATTCCAGTATACAGAATCTAGCAGGGAGAGAAGAAAAACAATAAATAATATGAAGTATTAAATTAGTGAATTACATATCTGAGTTATAAAATTAATTATGAATTGATTTAGTTCAATATATTGTGTTATTATAACTTGAAAATATTTAAATTTTTTATTTAATTTAAATATTTGATTATTTTTCCTTTTCTGTCTACAGTGTGGCTAAGCATCACAAAAATCTTTTACAAAGACCTTTTATAAAAGTGTGGTGATAAAGATGAAAAATGTTCATTGATCCACCAACTCGAGCTTACACTCAATTTTTGTAGATTTAAAATACTTAAGTACAAAGAATAATATGTCAGTCCCTTAATTATATGCCTTAATATCACTGGTCACCATTTTCTTTTTCAGTGCTAGGAATGAAATCCAGAGCCTTATAAAAACATGATAAGCACTCTATACTTAAGCTACAGACCAACCATTCAAATGATTTCTTTCAAAGTAAATACTTTTTGAAAATTGCTTTTAAACTCATTAGACAAACATGTAAATTTGCACTAAAAATTATGAAACCTTTCAGATACTATAATCCATCATTTTATATAGTTACTTTCCACTAATATACTCAACAAATATTTATTGGTCTTGACTACAATGGTTAAGGAAAAATTACCTGTTTCTAAAAATATCATTTTCACTGCGATTCACCCTTCAAATACATTCTATAGCAGCTAATTACAAGTAACATTATAAAAACATTTTATATGCTCATTGAATGCTTTATTATTCTACATGAAAGCAAGTCCTTCAAATAGGATGTGTTAATTCTTCCCTCGTTTGAAAAAATAAAAAAGCTAGTTTCCCTAGCCATTATTCTGTCTGTGTTGAAAATTTGATGTGTGATACATTGATTCATAACAACTGCCCCCACTTCTTGCTCACGAAGGCATTTTTAACACGAACCTACAGAGTCTAGACAGTTGACTCAGACAAGCAACTAGTCTTGGAGTATCAGAATCTCCCCCAGACCCCAGAGCCCCCTGCCTTTCACACTGCAGGTGCTAGGACCTGACGAAATGTACAAAGATATAAAATAAAACCAAGTTAAGCCATGGTCAGGGGCACGCTGTCTCACATCTCTCTGGAGCAGATCCTTAAGTGGCTTTTGACTGGAGAAGTGCAAATTGTCCACCTCCCTTACCAAATCCAGACCTAAAATGCTCCGCAGTGGGGAGAGAAAGAGAAAGAGAGGATGATGATGATGAGATAATAATAATGAAAACCCTCCAGCAGCCTCCTGAGGAACAAGAAGCTTCAGTGCAGTGGTGCGTACCTGTACTAGCCACTTGGCAAACCTTTCCTTTGCATTCCTGTTCATCAATAATATTTGCATATTCTTGAATGGCTGGGTTGTGTGTTTGTCTTTAAAATCTTTTCTTAAGCTCAGGAGGCTCCTTTAAGCTCCAACTGGGTCTAAAGAGCTCAAGTTTTTAAAGTATGTTGACTTGTTTGTTTGTTTGTTGTTTTGTTTTGTTTTTGACACAGGTTTTTTTCTGTGTAGCCTTGGCTGTCCTGGTTCTTTGTACACCAGGCTGGCCTTGAACTCACAGAAATCTGCCTGCCTTTGCTTCCCCAAGTGCTGGGATCAGGTGTATAATGTGACATTGTTGATTCATTTTTAAAGTATGCTTTCACACAAAATTTTTCCCTAAAATCCTTCTGCCAGGTTTTTTTTTTTAATTGATTAATCAATCAATTGCAAAAAGACTGAAAAATCTACATCTCTTTTTTTTTTCTTTTTATGGGAATTTCTCCTGTCAGTCAACATAGTTCCCTCAAATATTTCTGTCATTTAAATAATGCACTCACTGTCAGCTTGGTTACAAAGAATATTTAAGCTGCATATCCATTGCTTGACCAATACAGTATTTAAGTAAACTTAAATCATTGCTTTTCCAGGAAGTAACTCTTTGATGAAATACGGTTTAAGGATCTTGAGGTTTCTTTCTTTGTGATAGCAAGTGTAGTTTGTTTTGTCTTGTTTTTTCTTTTTCATTTCCTCATATTGTCATCATCTCCTTTTTTAATCTTCCATGTATTTCACAAGCAAGGTTCACCCAATGCCACTGATAAAAATATTTTGATGACAAAAAGAAAGTAAAATAATGGAGAGGTACTTACTGTTTGAACAATGAAGAGGACTGTGCCACAGAGACGAATGAACCGATTAAAACGGAGTTCCAAATACTGTTGCCAAAAAACAAAAAAACAGTGGTGTGAATCTTCTAAACACATTCTAAATCGGCTCAAGAAATAGAACGAGACTTTTAAAGCACTTTCGCATTTTTATTTTACTAAAATGATTTTTATATACACATGGCAAAACTGATGCTTTAGATTGCCTCTTAATGACTTTTAATATACATTAGGATTTACGTAATCCTCTTACACAGGCAGTACATGAAAACTAATTTGTTCTTCATCCCGTTTGGACTGGAAAAGTTGGAAATTTTATCATAAAAATGGAACTATATAGTCTCTCTCTTTGTTTAAAGAATATACAATCTATTGTTTCTTCTTTCCTTTTTGTAACCACTCAAATCAACCTTTTCTTCTATTTCAGAGTAGAGCTCTGCATCCGTTGCCCTGCCTCATCTGCGGAAAAGGAAGTCAGGTGCCCCCAGTACAGCCAATCACCTTCTCCTCCCCACCGCTAAACTGGGGAGGGACTGGATTGGCACGGACTGACCCTGACAGGAAAATCTGAAGAAGCGGCTGAAGCTTTGTCATTTCTAGAAGCCGTTTACTCTGCCTTCCACGCTGTTCTGTGAGCTAGCCACCTTCAAGTTCCTTCCTTTGCAATCCTGGGCGTGCACATCCACTTGTGTGTGTGTACACATTTGCGTATGTGCGCATGTGTGCGTAAGTACGGGTATGTGTGTGTGTATAGTGAAAAGTGTGTAAGTGTATTGTGTGAGTGTATGTTTGAGTGTGTGTGCACATACATTTGTGTATGTGTGGATTTGTGCAACTGTAAGTGAGTGTATGTGTGTATGTGTGCATGTGTGTGTGTGTATCAGGAGAGTGTGTATGTGAGAAAATGTGTGCGTGAGTGTGTATGTATGTTTAACCTAAATCACAGAAATCAAGATTTCAGTTGTTTTATTCTGTCTCTGAGACAAAGTCTTGTTATATAAACAGGCTGGTCTTGCTCTTTTGAGCCTCCTGCCCTTTCTTTCCAAGTAAATGACATGTATATGCCACCATTTCTGGCTGCCCGGATCCGTTTGTTGGTTTGGGTTTTGCTTTTGCTTTTGAAATGAGCTTTTGCTTTTGAAACTATGTACCCAAGGTTGCCTCAAATTTCCCATCCTTCTGCCTCAGTCTCTTGAAAGTCTTCTTCTGTCTAAAGTCAAGACCCTGTCAATTTTTCCAACTCTCCTTGAAATCTACTATAGCTTATAATACAGTCTATTTCCTGTGTTGTATAATATATAGTAATATATTTCGGTTAAAAGCAGAATTTCTGAGCTGAAGCCCAAGATATTATTTAACTTGAGTATTATTAGTTCATGTGGAAATAAGTCAAAGGCTGGCATAGCAGTCTCGCTGTATAAAGGAGGCAGAGAAGCAGCAGCAGCAGGAGGAGGAGGAACTGGCATTAGCTAATCATCACAGGGAAAGACGTATGGGTATCTTTGCTCCATACACAGCTAACACACCAGGTACACTAGGTCACTCTGCAACGCAGGCACTATGTTAGAGATGAGGACGGTGCTACTCAGACAAGAGCAAGGGTATAACCTAACTGTTCTCAGAGGTGTGATGCGCAAATTTAGAAACCTTGGCACACAGAACCTGCGTATATAACTACAAAAATAAATAAATAATCTGACGGTGCTTTTAAGACTCGATAAGTATGTGGTGCCACAGACAACTAAGACCTTCAAAAGCAACTGAAGTGTGACAAATGCCCAACAGTGCAAGGCCTTTGCAGCAGAGTTTCAGCCCCTGACCGGTCCCGTGCCCGACTCATGAGCTTATCACTCCCTCAGCCTCAGGGTTTCTTGTGTTTAAAATGAGGATCATAGGAGCAATTCTTTCTCTTTGATGTTTCAAGAGAAAGTATCCAGTGATGTGAGTCGATAAAGAAGATGTAAAGTGTCCAAAAGTTAGATGCTAAGATCAGTTCAGTGGGGTCAAAAATCCATGGACCTTGTGAGTCACACATATCAAAATCATGTAAGGGTATTTTGGCAAGTGGAGACATTTCTGAAAACTGGAAACAGAGTGGCGTTAAATCTGCATTACATATGAGCGGACATGAATAGATAGAGAAGTCTTCTGTTACTCTGGCTGTCCTGGATTTCAGTATGTAGATCAGCCTGGGCTCAGACTCAGCTGAGATCCTCCTGCCTTTGCCTTGTAAGTGCTGGGATTAAAGTGCTCCACTGTGTCCTGCTTGACTTTTGCCTTTTCTAGGTCCATGTATCCAATTGTTGGAGACCACACAAAGCTTAAAGAGACTGTGGCAAAAAAAAAAAAAAAGTAACAAGTTGGACCAAATAACTTGAAATTTTTTACAGATATAATTGTCTCAAAGATCAACTGACCAGTACATTTACACTCACACAAAGACAACTGACGACAGAACCAGGAAGCCATGGGTCCTTTACTAAACTTCAAAGGAAATATGTAAGGACCTAAGCAGAAACCCTGGTCCCATTACAGGAGGCTTAGGGAACAGCTCCAGAGTTTACAAGCAAAAACTACAGAATAATAGATACCTACAACAAACAGAGATCTGTCATCGTTCTTGGAACTCAGAATAACTTAGAGATGTGACAGCTTCAGTTGATATACATAAATAAAGTAACTAAAACCTAAGAGTGGAGCCTGAGAGATCCTGAAGAAATTATTAATTGCACTGAATTACTACAATAGGCTCCCTGCCAATCTGTGTGTCTGGAGGTTGATAAAACCCATCTGATCTATATTTTGACAGCAGTGTAGAGTGAAAATGTTGTGGCCAACCAAACTGAACTCTAGAAAGAGAAACGTAGAAATAGTTCACATTTGAGCAAGACTGTGATGGTGACTCTTACTCAGTGTTGGGCAGCACATCTGTATAGGTGTTCTCAATGCAGAGCCACAAAGCATTCCCCCAGGAAATCCTCTGCTCTGACTAATTAATTTAACAGAGGCAGAGCAAGCTGCTTAACTCCCTTCTCCCTGCCTACCTGACACTCCTTGCTAGACTCGTACAGTGTGCTCATAAATTCAAGGGTCCTGTATGACGACTTGATTCTCTCTGAGCTGCTTAGAGTTATAAGCAACTCACCAGAGCCTTCAGAGGCAGTCAGAAAAGTTGCTTGGCATGGATCCTTACTCTTTCCCCCTCTCCTACTGACTTAACTTATCCTGAACCTTCTCATCAGGAAACCAGGGCTCTATGTATACCCTTACAAAAATATTGTTGAGTGTTGAGTCAGATAATATGTGTAAAACATGCAGCTTGGTGCCCAGACATGAAATAAGCATTCAATAAACACTGGCTTTTTTTGTCATTTTTTTTTTTTTTTTTTTTTTTAGCCAGAGTCCTTGCTAACTTAGCTTCTGTCACTAGAAACACAGGAGGAGTCCTTTTCTGGTTGAGTTAATGTTACCACTCTGAAGAGGTATGGGTCAGTGGTTCTGAGAGCAGCGTTCTCCTGTAGGGCTGGCGTCCTCCTGCCCGGTTATCCAAACACTTTTCAAAGTTTTGGTTAGCTACAGGTCAGAGCTCACAGGCTTCAGTGGCAGCATAACCCACCTGGTAACACACAGGAGTGACAGGAGCCAGCTGCTCATGTCTTAAGGTGCTGGAACAGTACCTTAAGTATTTCTCACACCCACTGAGAAATAAGTTCTGCTACACGACCCACTCATCAAGGGCTCCTTCAGTGCTACCTCGGGAAAGCAGATGTGCAGGCGCGAAACAGCCTCAGTTTAGGCACAAATAGAGCAAGAGCAGTGGAGGTCCAGTGGCCACAGGAAATGGGAGCACAATGTCACTAGCCTTATGGGTTTCCAAAAGACATTTGAAATGTCATTTGCTGTTCCTCATTGTTAAATTCTTAAATCAATGATTTTTTTTTATTAAACAAAATAACCGGGGCATATTATAAATGTTTAAAAAAAAAAAAAAAAAACAACATCAAACACTCGTGAGAGCTGAATTTGGCCTCAGACAGCCAGTTTGAGAAATTCCCTTCTTTTCACACCTAAGGTGAAGAGTAAGTTTCTGTAAACACAGTGACCACCGTTAGAGGACAGAGCAGCCTCTGGCATGCCTAGACCAGGGTGGCATCACTAGAAGCCAGGCAAAAGCTGTCACCAATTGAGGTAGGGGCCCAGCACAGGCTGACCCGGCCTCACTGTGAAATAGGTGACCCTGAGCTTCAGGGAAATGGGTCACAAACTCCAGGACTGAGAAGCCTGGAGCTGAGGCACCTAGCTCCCTGGTTGCTGGCCTAGTGCAGTGGAATCTTGTCTGTGAAGCTGGTCAGGGCCCGGGGGAAGGACGCCCCCAAGGAGGCTGAGCTTTTTATAGGGGTGCAAGCACACACACCTGTGACATCTCTTTAAGTGAAACCAAACCAAACATCCTTCATCCTCGAAAAAGCCTTTTCCTGAGAACAACTTCTAAAACGGACATCCAGAGGAACGCGGCAGCAGATGAGAAGTGGGTCTCCCTCCTGCCCTTTCCGTAGCGAGGCAGCTGCCGTTTAAGACCTTCGCTGCTGCATTTTTCTAAGCATCTCAGCACAGTCTGTCACAATAACTGTTTTCAGCCCTGGTGCAGCAGCTCCTCTGTGCTGGGCTCTCTTCTAAACGTAGCGCCTTGCATCAGTGCATTTAATTCTCTCCCCGTTTCGACGAAGTTGGCGGTACTGTTTTCTTGAGATGAAAGTACCAGTATGAAAGGTTAATTAAGTAAGTGCCCCAAGGTCGTTTACAAGTAAACGGCATTTGGTCTCAAGGCAAGCTCTGAGACAAGAGCTACATCTTAACCATTTGGGTGGACAAACTCTTTCCTGATCTTCCAGAGGATGATGAGACTGGAATGATTTAGATTCCTCTCCCCTTTCCCGCCGCGCGCGCGCGCGCGCACACACACACACACACACACTTTAAAGCTTGCTAAAGTCAGGAAAGACCTCAGCGAGTCCATTGCACTTGGTTTGCTTTGGATCTGAGCTCAGAAAACCCAATCCCCAAACTTTATTCCGCTGAGAAGACTTATGTCTCAATGGGGCACATGGGGGGCGGGTAATCCGAGATGCGCTGACAAGGAGACATTTCCATATGGCAGAAACTGCTTGCCCCCAGAAAGTTCCTTCCGGAGCCCGAGGATGCCAGCAAGCCTCTCCCCTCTCCCGCCACCTCTTACCTCGTAGGTGCTGGTGATCCCCAACCTGTAGAACACCGGAAGGAAGACCTCCGCGCTGACAAACACCACAAGAAAGTAGGTGATGCCAAAGATACTGAACATCGCCCCGAAACGGTAGACCTCGGCGGGGGTGCCCAGAACAGTGACGGCGGACATGAAGCTGGCGGTGAGGGACAGGGCCACCGGCACAGCGGTCAAGCTGCGGCCGCCCATCAGAAAGTCCTTGGAGGTCTGCTGGCCGCCCCCGGCGAAGGCGTAATAGATGCCGATGGCAGCCGAGATGAGCAGCATGCCTGCGAACACCACGTAGTCCCACACCACAAAGCTGCCGATGTCCCGCGACCCGTCCATGGTGCCCTGCGGGGATCCGCGCCCGCAGCGCGCGCAGCGTGGCCGGCGGCGCTCCTGTCGCCCGGGCCGGCGCTCGCTCCTCTCTCCCCGGCGCGGCGGGCGTGGCGTCCCGCGGAGCTCAGGTCCTCCTGCTGGGGTGGATCCTCCGCGACACCCGCTGCCAGTCGCCGGGTCTGGGAGACCCCTGTCCCCGGCCGCGCCCCCGACAGTCCCGGCCCGGCGAAGGCCGCGCCGCTGCCGCGCTGAGAGCTCACCAGGTTCGGACCCGGGTGGCCCCGACTGCGGCCGCCTAGGCGCCGGCGGCTCCGGGGCGGGTTAGATCTGGAGCCTCCCGCCGCGTCCAGCGAATCCACAGCGCAAGGTTTATTAAGTGACAGCGGCGGGGACGCACCATTTAAACAGGCAGGTAGGTGATGGGTGTGTGCGGCAGGGGTGGGGGTGGACCGAAGGGCAGTTGTCACGCTTTCCAGTTCACAGTCCAGCTCCTTGCTTGGAGGTACACATAGAGTTGGAGGCTCATCATCACTTGACAGATTAATGGATGATGGGACTGACAGCTGCGGTAACTGAAATCATCGTGGTTAGACAGGTGAGCAATTACAAAGGAGACAGAAGGCTGTGCTGTGGGTTACTCACGTTTTCGGTCAACAAACATTTCTGATCCAATACAGTCTGTCTGATCCCCTATTGCAGCCTGTAGTAGCAATGATAGCAGCTATCCTTTATCTAACGAGACTTAGGTTTAGAAAACAAACGACAACAAAACCAGATTTGTCTAATGCCTTCAACTCTTACAACTACCCTTAAGATAGGAATTATCTCCATTTTTCTAAGGAGGAAAACCGCTCCGGGAAGGTGGAGTCAACGGTCCTGGAGGCACATTCCTGTAGTTCTAGCACTTGGGAGGTGGAAGCAGGAAGGTGGGAAGTTCAAGTTCATCCTCCACTGTGCACCAAGTTCAGGGCCAGCAAGAACCATGTGGGACGGTGATGAGAGAGGGAGGAAGGAGGGAGGAAGGAAAGAGGGAAGAGGAGGTGGAGGAGGAAAGAGAAAGAGAGGCAGAGAGAGGGTAGGAGAGATGAGATACTTGTCTAAGGAAATGGTGGCGGGAAGGCTCTTTTTTTTTAATATGTACATTTTTAATTTTCTTTTTTCACTTATTCATTTATTACAATTTATTCACTTTGTATCCCAGCTGTGGCCCCCTCCCTCGTCCTCTCCCAATCCCGCCCTCCCTCTCTCTTCTACGTTCATGCTCCTTTCCCAGTCCACTGATCAGAGAGGTCCTCCTCCCCTTCCATCTGACCCTAGCCTATGAGGTCTCATCAGGACTGGCTGCACTGTCTTCCTCTATGCTCTTAACTCAGGTCATGTGTTAAAGGAACATACTAATGTGTTACACTTAACTGGAGCACTTAAGTGCAAAAGCTCTTTAATGCTTTTTTTCTAGATTTATTTATTTTTATTTTCTGTATATGGGTGTATTGCCTGAATGTATGTCTTTGCATGGTGAACATGCAGTGCCAGTGGAGGACCAGAAGGGGGCGTCATAGTCCCTGGAATTACAGTTTTAAGTCATCTATTGGGTGCTGCTGGGAAGTCATCGCAGGTGCTCTGGGAGAGCAGCCAGTGCTCTTAACGAATGAGCCATCTCTCTAGACCTTGAAAAGATTATTTCGAATATCACTCAGGACATGTTCTAAGTATCTTACTTTGGAATATTACTGCCAGCATATGTGACACATGATGATATGATTCTCTGGGTCTCCTAAAATACCCCCTTCAGCAAACTGTACCCAGCCTTCTATCAATTTTAAACTGTCCTGGTCCATTTTCATACATCTTTATGACTTAACAGTTGATCTGAAGGAAGCAATCATCAAATCCCTTCAGCCCAGCACAGCGTGAAGAAAGCACTGTCATTTTTTTTTATCAGCTTGTATCATGTATATGTCATTTCTGGAAGAAACAGAAGCTAAATCCAAGTGGCCCAGTCATTTGAACAAGATGTGGAGTGGAATTGTGTCCCATTTGTGTTAAATGTACATCTACATACCAGGTGTATATCTCAAACTGTAAGAGAGCGGTCCTTAATGTGAGTCTGTTTATGAAAATGCTTGTAAAGCCAACAAACCTAAGTATAATAAAAGGTATTTAAGCAAAACTCTTCTTTTTGACACCTGGAGTTAAGCACAGAACTTTAGGCTACCTGTGAGCAAGGCATCACTGTAGTCACTGAGAGGCAGACTCAGAAATTTTGCATCCTGACTATTACTCATCAGTCATGGCTGGGGCAAGACCCTACTTATTTGTCTTAGGTTTCTTCATTTAAACTAAGTAGCAATATTTTCATTTTTATGTCTACTGTGTGTGTGTGTGTGTGTGGTCCTGTTTAGTTTTCTCCTTCCACTGGTTACAGGAATTGAACTCAGGTAGTTAGGCTTGGTAGCAAAAGCCTTTACCTGCTGACCCGTCTTCTTAGCCTCCAAGTGACGCTGATTCTTATCTCACAATTGTACAGGCTTAAATGAGATGACACACATAGCCCTTGACATTGCTGGGTGCTGGCAACCGAGTAAATGTTTACTTTTTCCAGTTTAGTAACAATGGAATGGTAAAAAGTTATACTTTAGAAGTTCTACTGTTAAATATACAAATTTCTCTCATTATTTCTCCTTGATTATAACATTTATGTACTGCTGTAAGCTGTGTATAAGCCACACTCTGTCCTTTCATGTCCCGTGGGTGTCCTGATGCAAGTCCTCAAACAGTATCTTCAAGAAGAATGAGTGAGAGGTCTAGGGTTTTGTGCCTTGCGACACATAGGTCATCATTTGTTATTTTCACACAACCTGTTTCTTCAAAAAAAAAAAAATTTGGAAGAATCATCTATTTTCTTCTGACATTTCTTAAAGGAGAGCTGGGGTCAACCAGATGTCCCTTTCCCTCATAAACAGCTGGTCTTATGGCTGTATGGTCAACACTTGTATTTTCAAACTTTAGCAGTCTTCAGAACTGCACATTTTCCGTTACTACCAAACTGATCCCTTCGATATAAATAACTATGACATTTTAAGTTGGAACATCAAAGGCTGGAGATAAAGCTTTGTGACTAAGAGTACTTGTTATTCCTGCAGAGGACCTGAGTTTGGTACCCAGCACTCATGACAGGCAACTGCCAACCACTTGTAACTCCAGACCCAGAGACTCCAGGGCCCTCTTCTTGCCTCCCATGGAGCCAACACACATATGTACAAACACACACATACTCGCATGCACACACAAATTAAAATTAAATATAAAAATAAGATTGTAAAATTGAAACTTTACTTACTGCTACTGTTCTAACTATTACAGACTCTTTCTCAGAAAGCTATAACCTTTAATAATAACCTGACCAGTGATTTATAGTTTTCATCTGAATCACTTTTCCCACTTTAACCTGTGGGTCCTTCCTGGGTTTGTCTTTATGGAGTTAATTTTGATGTCTCAAATGGTGTGCTCTACTTTACTGCCCATAGTGTGGATTCTATCTCTGCTTTCACATTTAATATAAGTCTAAAATATCTAAAAACTATTCTAAAGTCTTTTTGGCTTTAGAAAGCTAATTTTTACATTTTTTTTATTTAATCCCAGGAGTGATAACTTTACCATTCTTAATTTTACTTGAATCTTTGAAGGTATTCTTATTCCTTTGGATTTTAGGTGCCCCCCCCCCACACACACAGAACAGTGTTCTCACTAGGGTTATTATTGTTATAACAAAGTATAATAACCAAAACAACTTGAGGAAGAAAGGTTTTATTGACTTTATTTAGCTTACACTTCCACATTGCTGTTCATAGTTAAAGGAAGTCAAGACAGTGACTCACACAGGGCGGAAACCTAGAGGCAGGAGCTGATGCAGAGGCCATGGAGGGGTGCTGCTTACTGGCTTTCTCCTAATGGCTTGCTCAGCCTGCCAGGACCACCAGTCCAGAAATGACACCACTCACAATAGGATGCCCCCCCAACAACCATTAATTAGGAAAATGTCCTACAGGTTTGCTACAACCTGATCTTATAGAGACACTTTTAAAATAATTTTTCTTTTTATTTATTTTTTACTTTTTTACAATTTATTTATTATATATCCTGATTAAAGCCCCCTCCCTCAACACCTCCCTCTTCCTGTCCTATCCAGTTCCCCTAGTCCACTGAAAGGGGGAGTTCTCCTCCTCTGCCATCTGCCATATCGTATCAAGTCTCCTCAGGACTGCCTGGATCCTCTTCTGCTGTGGCCTGGCAAGACCACATTGCCAGGGCCAAGTGATCAAAGAGCAGACAGAGTTCATGACAGAGGCAGCCCTGGCTCCCCTTACATGGGAACCCACATGGAGACTGAGCTGCCAATTGGCTACATCTGAGCAGGGGGTCTAGGTATTTTCTTAATTGAAGTTCCCTCCTCTCAGATGACTTTAACTTGTGTCAAGTTGACAAAACTATCCAGCACAGCCAGATCTTATTTTTCTAATAATCATCTCATATAAAAGGCAATTTTTATATTTCTGATCTGCCAAAAGATGAATGATGTTTTTTTGTCTTACTGTTCTCTTCTAAGAGTTTGTGGCTTTACGGATGGATGTTGTTGCAGAACTAAATTCTGACCTCAACACCAAGATAGTTAGATGGCCATTTGTTTTTAGTCTCCTGGTCAGACACAGTGCTGTTCCCTCTTTCCCTACCACACTCTCACCTTTAAATACAGCTGGAGAAGCTACGGATCCCAACGTCCACTGGGGTCCTTCTATCTCCACCTGACCTGCTGTGCTTTGCTTGGAAGAATGACATCTCCCAAAACTCACTGTCCACTGCCAGTTCCTTCTCTTCATCAGTACCTTGCCAGAAGATTGAGACAATATGGTCACTGGAGGTGTTAGGGTTTCTATCACTGTCATAAAACTCCACAACCAACTTGGGGAGAGATGGTTTATTTCAGCTTATAGTTACAGTCTGTCATG